AGAGGCTTATTTCTCATAACTACTCTGCTCCATTCCCCCGATGTAGAAAGTGTGGTGAGCGGTTCTCGACTTCGCTAAAATCCCTTCAATTCAAATATAACTCCAGTTTGGAGATTACAAGATAGCAGCAGCAGCAGCAGCAGCGTGCCAGCAAAGCATTATAAGCGGGTTGTTTTATGGGTATAGCTCGCTTGCAGGCCCACACGTACCCTTTTTCGGAGACGTAAGTAGGAGTCACCCGTAATACGAGCGCTTTTGCATTAAATGCCAATGAAATTAAGGTCAGGGTCAAGCGAACTGCGAGTATTATGATTACGGTCAAGGCTTCCTTTAGGGTTGCTGTTAGAACAGGAAAAGAGTTATCCCTCCTGCAAATTGGTGCAGGACTACCTGTAGTACAGGGGGCGTTCGGAGTTTCGCTTCCTGCCGGGGTAGGGGGAAGGGGGGGGCATATAAGCGATTCTGGTTCGATGATGTACTGAAGATCAGTTTTAAACATTGAGATTCCTGGGCATAAGTTAGCTGTCTTATTGTAGTACGTTAAAGATCAAACACGTGAACAAAAAACGACACCCTGCTAGGTCATAAGCACCCGGATCGCTCGACGTAAAGAAGTACACAATTAACCCAATAAATAAATTCTGTGTCCCACCTAGGAGGAACTCTGTCTACCGGCTCGACAAGTTGAGTCACGACGGCTACGTGTAGGCGAACTAGTAGAGTAAAAGTTAGGGGACTTAATTCGAAAACAATATCATTCGGTGAGATTCGCCTCTTTTTAAGCGGAAAGTAAAACGACGCTATTTAGAAAATCTAATGCAGAGTTTTTACAAAAAAAGCGAAGTTCAAAGCAAGCGGTAGCAGAATGCAACATATTTAAGTGAAAAAAGGTAAAAGTAATTGCCGATACTCAGGAAACTGCCAGCCAGGACAGAAGGGAATCAGTTTATTGGCAGCAAAATGCGAGGCGTTTATTCTCACTGACTGAGAACCCCAAAAAGTATTCCTAAAATAGGCTTAAACCAAGGGGACTGGGAAAATTCGAAATGAACTTAAACGCAAATAAAACAGATTGGTATATAGGAAGCGGGACATCCAGATGGACCTTACAAACGAAACCTGAAGCACAAAAAGAAAGCAAGGATATTGGATGAGCTATTTAGGCACAGACACAATAGTTTTCTGTTCAATTTTCATGACTCCAATGGCTGCAATAGTAATCAGAAGAAAAAGCGAGCAAAGTTGTGCATCACTTAGAAATCACCAGATTAATCAGACATAGGCATGCAAAGGAACGCCCTTCCCTTGCTCACAGTGAAAATACCCTAAACTTTACACAAACAAAGGAGTTTAGTCTTTAATTTTTTCGGTATTGGGATAGAGCAGTATTATATTGATTTAGCGAGCAAAAGTTTTAGAGCTCCAAGTTCCCAACATATTGAAAAGCCCTTTTACTGTAAGTTGACACAGCCTTAAATGGTTGTGAGAAAGGCATAAACGAGGAGTAATTGCCATTCAAAATCCACAAATTTGGCTACCAAATAGTTTAAGAAGCATCCAACGTTCTTGAAAGATCACTTTTCACAATATCAGCAGCCTTTAAAGAGCAGATACTTTAAAGGCACTGACCAGCACAATTACCACGCAGTCTGCAGAAAGACTTTTCTTGTTTTAACCGCTGGATATCAACCACACCAGCTCGCTTGAGTTATCACGTGGACAGACAATTATAATCAGCTGTTTAAGGGTCAAAAAGCGAAACCAACTTACACCGGCGGCTTTAATGATTGCAGCTAATGACTAACTGATTTGGCAAGCCACAACAGCACATTCTGTATATCAGTAAAACTTGACGCCAGAAAGGCGGTGGCATCAGTGTAGACAATGTCAGGCAGTCGGTGGAAGAGTGCACAGGAGACACATTGAAAACCCCTTCTGGTCAACGGAATAGTTAAAGCGGGTGGGTGCCAGAATATCACCTTGACGAACTCCAATCGAAATATCTAGGTGTTTGGGTGGTTATTACCGATAAGAACTAGTGCACTAGAGGGCGAGAGTGGACCTTGATGAAGGCAACGATTAACTCAAGCATACGATCTGGTGTCAGTATTCGTCACAGTAACTCACGAAGCAGTCAAGCACAAAAGTAAGACCGTGTGAGAGGGTCCTAAGGTGCTAATTGCCGGGAGACTTCACGAATGCCATTATACAAATATTTGTTGAGAGAATCCAGCCCAGCACGAAATATGATTTGATTTACATATGTTCCTTCAAAGTAATGGCAGCAGCCATGCGCATAAACACACTCTATCAGTAATCAATTGGCAAAGACAACATATATCCTCGCCTTGTTAATAACGACTACCGCCAGTACACGCTGAGTTTTCGAAATCCGTCGAAAGTGCCTATGGATCCGACGCCACATCTTTATTGCCACGTAGGTCTGCGTGTACCGTGCATCCTTAGGGTTTTTTCTTCTATACGGCTGTGAATGCCGGACAATGCGAGTGGAAGATGAAGGAAAACTGGAGGTATTTGGCTACTACTGCTAGAGGACCATGCATTGAGTGAAGTACACCGAATTCATTTAAAAGGAGACAGCCCACACTCGCTGCAACAGTATCGCGAGGATATTTCAGGCTACCGAAGAAAGAAGAATGACGTGGTTTGTTTACGTTCTCCGTCGTCGGCCTTTCAAGCTTTATTATACTGTCCTCGATCCGGTACCACTGCCCGTTCGAAGACGTCAAAAAGGAAGCCAACTCAAAACCTGGCTGGACACAGTTCGTCAAGGCATGGAAGCGGTTCTTGGACCTTCGGCACTCGGTCTCCGTCGCTATAAAAGAGAAGGCGTTGAGCTTCCTAGATCGGCTGCCGCACTTCATCACGTGAGGAGAGGTACAGCCCAGACCATCATTGAAGCCAGCTAGATCAGGTATGACCACAGCCGTATTAAGTAGAAACACAAGTACAGACAGCAACTCCGGGTTCCGTGCAGAATAAAACCTTGCCATCGGTTTCTTTCATCTTTTTTGTCGCAACACAGCCTGATGATTGTATTGGCCCGGGGTACACGCATTAGCTTTTTTAGCTACAGATTCCAGTGACTATACCATCTTATCCGGACAACTTGTGCAACACCTGCATCTCACTGATGCTTTCCTCCTGGTAAGGAGTCGCAAAGCACAGCGCGTAAGTTAGGCAGAGATAAAACTCCACTTCAAGGGACAGATATGTGATGGGGTGGTCAAAAAATTGAAAAAGAGTTCGAAAAGCTTACGTCAGTGCTCCACTTCGAACGGCTTCTTGGAAATAAAACCATAACCATAATCACTCAGTGATGATAACTTCCTACTAACATAGAGACAAAAGTTTTAGCAACGGCGCCCACGGCTTAACTCTTTGCTGTAGTTGGAGAAGATAAATCACAAACATCGAAGCCAGCGTCACAGCTCGCAGAGCATTTGCCTAACTGCCACAGTGTCTGTGGTTACAAAACGAAGAACTACGAAGGTCGTATGTGATGAAGCAGTTTCAAAAAAAAACGTTGGTTCATACGCTCCGGTCCCACTCTTCTTTGCATTGATTCGCCGTCTGCCACAAATCACAGAACTGTCCCAAACACTTCATGTGCACTCATAATCCAACCACAAGCATCGACGGTTTTCTGACCGACAGCCACAAGTATTGTCAGAGGGAGAAAGTACGCGATGGTTCGAACGGAATCGGTGCCCCGATGAGAGAAAATTGGTTTTGGCGGCATTAAATTTTAAAAGGAGGAATGCCGTGTTTGCATAAAGTAGCACGAGGCGCTGCATAACGCAGGCTGTAGGTCAGTTGGCATGCGGGTAAAACAAATGTCCAAGCTCTGTCGGAAATTGTTGAAGCCTGTGCGGACGCGGACAGAAGAGGGTGGGGGGAATACTTAAGTGGGCAGCCGAACTCCTGGAACGTGGGATAAATCCTAAAATATGCACAACAGGCGGGTGGCTCGTCGCGCTTGTGATCGGATCGAGGATCGGTGTTAGCGCGTAGGCAAAGTATGTGCCTATATTAGACAGGGAGGGAAAAAGTGACAAAAAAGATACCATGAAACGTGCATCAATGCTGATAATACTTCTTGACGCGATGCACACAGGACGCACAGCTCCACGACGTGCTGCTATCTCCTCTCTATGGCTTCCCGTGAAAGCCACAGAATCGTCTAAGGTAGGAGCAAACAGAGAGACGGAAGTCTAAACAACCACAGACGGTTAAGGGTTACCAGAGAGGGACGGCCACCAGATGCCGCATTTATTTCGCAGATTATTGAAGGCTTTTAGACAGAAGAAGGAAGGTTTAGGGTGGATAGGGAAGACTGGTGCGATCGATCGAACAGGAAGTTTATTCACTTGACATTTCAGATTCTCGCTTGAAC